TTTTCACCATATGTATACATACACACTCAGATACATATAATTTGTTCCTTACCCTAGTGTTTCAGGAAATTCCAGAAAAAATATCTAGAAAGTTATAAAATTTTACCTTTCATATAAATGAATTACACAAATTATTTGAATCTGTTTCTTTTCAGAAGTTTCTCTACCCTTTGGGGTTGTAAGACTCTTATAAATAGATATATTTCCAAGGAGCTGACACTGAACTAGTAAACTCATCCTTTTCTGTGCAATTCATTTATATACTCATTTATTATGAGAACATTTTTTGGATGTCTGTCTAGCACCATATAAAGTTCTTTGCTTTGAAAATTAAAATTTAGACACAGTGCCTTCCCCCTCCCCCAACTAGTTCACTACATAAAAAAGGTAGACTTTATAATTTAGTTATAGTAGGGTTTAACACAAGAAGAGTCTTGAGCACATAAAATGGACAAAATTCAGATATGAATGTTAATGGATGATTTCCTGCAAGAGGTGATAACTCAGCTCAGCACAATAGACTTAGATGAATTGGTTTAGGACTTCAGGGAGAAGTACATTTCAGACAAAAAGAAAAGGAATGAAAAACGGATAGATCGAGGTTTATTACCACAATCACCTGATAAATTTGTTCAAAATATAATGTACTTTGTGTTTGCTTTTACCCAGTTGAAAGTCAAATTCAATGCATGCCAGGTTTCCTGGGATATTTTGGAATACATAATGTTTTAAGTGATTCAAGGCATGTCCCAGGTTAAGAGCAGGTGAGATAGAGCAGAGAGTGTTAAATAAGGAGTCGCAAATGACAATACTGGAAAGGAAGAAGACTTCAGAGGACAAGATCCTTAAACTATAACATAATTTATACTACAGAAATCTGGACTTTAGCTGAAGAATATGCAGACTTCTTTGTTTTATTGCTCAATGGAAGTGTTTATATATTATCCTGGAACAGTTCTCTCCCTCTCTCTCTCTCTCTCTAGACAGATAAGTAGATAGATGGATAGGTAATATATATAGATCTATAATACATATATTGCTAAACAAGTAGGTATCTGAATAAAACATATGCGTGTATGTGTGTGTATATATATGTGTGTGTGTGTGTGTGTCTATAATACATATATTGCTAAACAAGTAGGTATCTGAATAAAACATATGCGTGTATGTGTGTGTATATATATGTGTGTGTGTGTGTGT